CTGCTATTATTCTTTGGTCTTCCCTCACGACTACATGTCAGCGTAACATATCTCACTAATCCATCATCACCCTTTTGGAATTCTTTTTCCTCATTGAAAAACCGACTTCGTACGCATATCTTTTGTAAAATTCGAACAACTCTTTTTGATCGTTGAACTACATACCCACCTCAGGCACTATCGTAACATCTCTTGCTAAATTATCGCTATCGTCTTCCAAGTTGACTACATTATCTATCAACTTATCATCGTTGGATTCTACACATACTTCGTCATCCAGTACTTCCATTGTTTATTTCCTTGCATCAATGTAATACATATTCATCATCACCAACTCACATAGAATGCTCATTTTGTAAAATCCATTTCCCCCATCTAATTCAACATTTCTGTGCAATTTTCAAATACAAAGCATATAATAATTCGAGTGTAAGTTAACATTTCTCTATAATTTTCAAATAGAAGACAATCTATTTTCCTCTGTCCACTGCACAATACCTTTGACTGCTGCAACTGCCCCAAATTAAGATTAAAAAAAAAAGGGAAAAGCAATAACTCAATTGGTGCGGCAATATCGTTGAGGGAATGCTCTTTTATTACAAGAAACCGAGTTAGCCGGGATTGAAAACCCGAAAAAGCAATTAATACGATGGATTGTAAGAATCGCGGCTGAAGGTGGTTTCACCCACTGTGAATGAGAGGTTTAAGAAGGTGTGTGATGACTTTTCGGTGAAGAAAAACTTCCAGAACAATGCATGGATTACGGTTTCTCAGTCGTTTGAGGTGGAGGAGCTCCTCAAAGACACAATTCAACAATTGTTTGAACAGATGAAGCCTACTCTTGCTGAAAATTTGGGGATCGATTTCTCGGTTCAGAATGGAGTGGGAATCGCTTGCTGAAAATTTGGGGATCGATTTGATGGGGGGAGAAACCGGGATTAGGTTAGAATTGGAGGAGAGGTGAAATTGAGTTGGGAAAAATTCATAAATAAGGCGTTTAGTTTACACCAATTCAAAAATCATGTTTATAGTTTGAAAATTCAAAAATCAGGTTTTTTTT